TGTTGGACTTTGTCAAATGCCTTTTCTGCATCATTTGAGATGATCAAGTGATTCTTTTCTTTCCTTTTATTTATGTGGTGGAGTACGTTGATTGATTTTCTAATGTTGAACCATCCTTGCATACCTGGCATGAATCCTACTTGGTCGTGGTGTATTATTTTTTTGATATGATGCTGAATTCACCTTCCAGTGTTTTATTGACTACACAAAGACATTTGACTGTGTGGATCATAAAAAATTATGGATAACATTGCAAAGAATGGGAATTCTGGAACACTTAATTGTTCTCACGTGGAACCTGTACATAGACCAAGAGGCACTTGTTCTAACAGAACAAGGGGACACTGCATGGTTTAAAATCAGGAAAGTTATGCATCACGGTTGTATCCTTTGAGCATACTTAGTCAATCTGTATGCTTAGCAAGTAATTGGAGAAACTGGACTATATGAAGAAGAAAGCAGGATCAGGACTGGAGAAAGTCTTATTAGAAACCCACCATACGCAGATCACACAACCTTGCTAGCTGAAAGCCAAGCAGTCTTGAGGCACTTAAACTGCTGAAGATTACAGACTACAGCCTTCAGTATGGATTACATCTCAACATAAAGAAAACCAAAATCCTCACAACTGGGTCAGTAAGCAACATCATGATAAATGGAGAAAACATTGAAATTGTTAAGGATTTCGTTTTACTTGGATCCACAATCAATGCCCATGGAAGCAGCAATCAAGATCTCAAAAGACATATTGCATTGGGCAAATGTGCTGCTAAAAACCTCTTTAAAGTGTTAAAAAGCAAAGATGTCATTTTGAGGACTAAGGTGCACCTGATACAAGTCCTGGTATTTTCTGTCGCCACATATGCATGTGAAAGCTGGACAATGAATAAGGAAGATCAAAGAAGAATTGATGTATTTGAATTATGGTGTTGATGAAGAATATTGAATATACCATGGACTGCCAGAAGAATGAACAAATCCATCTCGGAAGAAGTACAGCTAGAATGCTCCTTAGAAGCAAGGATGCCCAGACTTTGTCTCACATACTTTGGACATGTTATCAGGAGGGAGCAGTCTCTGGCTAAGAACATCATGCTTGGTAAAGTAGAGGATCAGCGAAAAAGAGGAAGGCCTGCAATGAGATGGATTGGCACAGCTGCTGCAACAATGGGCTCAAACATAGAAATGATTGTGAGGATGGTACATGGCTGAGCAGTGTTTCGTTCTGTTGTATATAGGGTCACTATGAATTGGAAACCACTTGATGGCACCTAATAATAACAACAGGAATTCTTTAATATTCTGAATATTTAATTCTGATCAGATACATGGTTTGCAAATATTTTTCACATTCTGTACGTTATTTGTCTTTTTGACTTTCTTGATAATGTCTTTTGATGCACAATCTTTTTTTTTATTTTGATGAAGTCCAATTTATCTATTTGCTATTTTGTTGCTTGTTCTTTTGGTATCACATTTAAGAATCCATTGTCCAGTGCAAGGTCCTGAAGATTTACCCTTATGTTTTTGTCTAAGAGTTTTATTGTTTTAGCTCTTATAATCCATTTTGAATTAATTTTCATATATGGTGGGAAGTAGGGATCTAACTGCATCCCTCTGCATGTGGAAATCCAGTTGACCCAGCACTATTTTTCGGAGAGACTATTCTTTCCCCATGGAATGGACCTGGTGGTCTAGTAGATAATCAATTGGCCAAAAATGAATGCATTTATTTCTGGACTCTCAATTCTATTCCGTTGATCTTTATGTCTGTGTTTACACCAGTACCACACTGTTTTGATTTCTGTAGCTTTGTAATATGTTTTGAAATTGAGAAGTATGTGTTCTCCTACTTTGTTATTCTATTTCAAGATTATTTTGGCTATGCAAGTCTCCTTGCAAGTCTCTATGAATTTGAGGATCAGTGTTTCCATTTCTGCAAAAAAGGCTATTGGAATTTTGATAGGAATTACATTGAGTCTGTAGATAGCTTTCTGTAGAATTGACATCTTAATATTAAGTCTTCCAGTTCATGAACATGAGATGTCTTCCCATTTATTTAGATCTTCTTTAAATTCAGCAGTGTTTTATAGTTTTCAGTGTATATGTCTTTCACCTCCTTGATTAAATTTATACCTTGGTATTTTATTCTTTTAGGCGTTATTGTAATGGAATAGTCTTCTCAATTTCCTTTTCAGATTTTTCACTGCTAGTGTATAAAAATATGGCTGGTTTATGTTTTTTGATATTGTACTCTGAAACTTTGCTGAAATTAGCTGTAGTAGCTTTCTTGTGGAATCTTTGGGATTTTTTATATGTAGAATCATGTCATCTTTGAATAGTTTTACATCTTTCTTGTTTTGGAAGGCTTTTATTTCTTTCTTCTTGCCTAATTGCTCTGGCCAGAACTTGTAGCACAATATTGAATGGCAGTGGTGAAAGTGGGTATCTTTGTATAGTTTCTGATCTTAAGGGTAAAGGTTTCAGTCTTTCACCATTGAGGATAGTGTTAGCTGTGAGTTTTTCATAAATGTCCTTTATAATATTGAGAAATTTCCCTTCTATGCCTAATTTATAGAGTGTTTTTTATCATAAAAAGATGTTGAATTTTGCCAAATGCCTTTTCTACATCAGTTGAGAAGATCTTGTACCCCCTACTCCCATTGACTAAAAAAAACCAAAAACCAAAAACTCAAACCCACTGCTGTTGAGTTGTTTCCAACTCATAGTGACCCCCTAGGGTTTCCATGCTGTAAACCTCTAAGAAAGCAGACTGCCACATATTTCTTGTGTGGAGCTGCTGGTGGTTTTGAACTGCCAACCTTTCAGTTAGCAGTCGACTGCTTTAATCACTTTGTCACCAGGGCTCTGTTGGCTAATGTGGTGTATTACTTTGATTAATTTTCTTATGCTAAATTTCCCTTGCATTCCTGGGATAAATCCCATTTGATCAGGGTGTATAATCCTTTTAATATGCTCTTGGATTCAGTTTTTTTAGTATTTGTTTAGAATTTTTGCATCTATATTCATAAGGAATATTGGTCTGTAATTTCATTATCTTGTGATGTCTTTACCTGGCTTTGGTGTCAGGGTAGTTCTGGCCCATGGGATGAGTTAAGAAGTATTCCCTTCTATTTTTTTAGAAGAGTTTGAGAAGAGGTGGTGTTAATTCTTCTTTAAATACTTAGCAGAATTTACCAGTGAAGCCATCTGGTACTACACTTTTCTTTGTTGGGATGTTTTTGATTACTGATCTAATCACTTCCCTTTTTTATATGCTTATCGAGATCTTCTAATTCTTTTTGAGTCAATTTAGATAATTTGTATGTTTCTAGGAATTTGTCCGTTTCATCTAGACTACCTAATTTATTGAAATTTGTAAGGATTTTTTGCACATAAATTTTATATAGATGAATAGAATTTGCTTTTAAACAAATGCTATAGTGTTACTACTATTCTAACATTGCAGTGCCTTGAACCTTTGAGTTCATGTTTAAATTTGTCTGATATTAAG